TCAACAAGGTGTTTACATGTATCAACGTCCTAGTGTTGTTGTTTGTGGTGGTCTCTGGACTGGTCAAAGGAACCCTGAAGAACTGGCATCTGGACCCTGATGTCATCCTACACAACAACAACAACTCCAGACAAAAGTAAATACACACACACACACAGTTCTGTCCTTGAGCTGTTCTTGTCTATTGATGTTCTGTATTATGTCATGATTCATGTTTTGTTTGAACCCCAGGAAGAGTAGCTGCTGCTTTTGCAACAGCTAATGGGGATCCTAATAAAATACCAAATACCAAATACACACATGCACTCACACGCTACATTATACTAGTGTGTATTTAATGATCTCTCTTTCTCTCAGCATGACAGAGCCCTTGCCGTCGGTGGAGAGTCTAGGAGTGGGCGGATTCATGCCATTTGGCTTCACCGGCGTCCTATCAGGCGCTGCCACCTGTTTCTACGCCTTCGTGGGATTCGACTGTATCGCCACAACAGGTCAGTGTGGGAGGGGCCAACTCACATCACCAGTGGTTTAGTGGAGGTATTGAAACACACGTACAGTCGCTGGTGAAAGATCCTTGCACAGTCTTTACATTTTGCTGCCTTAAAATTTAATCTAAAAAGGGAATACATTAGATAAATAAATAAAAACACAATTAACTCCACATTTTCAAAGTAAAATAAAACATTTTGAAAATTTTCCAAATTACAAAGAAATGCAAAATGAACATGCATTGATTGCATATGTCTTCACACCCCCGAGTTAATAACTGATGGGAGCACCTCTGGCAGCCATTACAGCTGTGAATCATTTTGAATAAGATTCTACCAACCTTAAGCAACTCTTAGGGCAACATACAGTCGTGGTCAAAGGTTTTGAGAATGACACAAGTATTGGTCTTCACAAAGTTCGCTGCTTCAGTGTTTTTAGATATTTTTGTTCAGTATTCTATGGTTTACTGAAGTATAATTACAAGCATTCCATAAGTGTCAAAGGCTTTTATTGACAATTACATTAAGTTTATGCAAAGAGTCAATATTTGCAGTGTTGACCCTTCTTTTTCAAGACCTCTGCAATCCGCCTTGGCATGCTGTCAATTAACTTCTGGGCCACATCCTGACTGAAGGCAGCCCATTCTTGCATAATCAATGCTTGGAGTTTGTCAGAATTTGTGGGTTTTTGTTTGTCCACCCGCCTCTTGAGGATCGACCACAAGTTCTCAATGGGATTAAGGTCTGGGGAGTTTCCTGGCCATGGACCCAAAATGTCGATGTTTTGTTCCCCGAGCCACTTAGTTATCACTTTTGCCTTATGGCAAGGTGCACCATCATGCTGGAAAAGACATTGGTCGTCACCAAACTGTTCTTGGATGGTTGGGAGAAGTTGCTTTCGGAGGATGTGTTGGTACCATTCTTTATTCATGGCTGTGTTCTTAGGCAAAATTGTGAGTAAGCCCACTCCCTTGGCTGAGAAGCAACCCCACACATGAACGGTCTCAGGATGCTTTACTGTTGGCATGACACAGGACTGATGGTAGCGCTCACCTTGTCTTCTCCGGACAAGGTGTTTTCCGGATGCCCCAAACAATCAGAAAGGGGATTCATCAGAGAAAATGACTTTACCCCAGTCCTCAGCAGTCCAATCCCTGTACCTTTTGCAGAATATCAGTCTGTCCCTGATGTTTTTCCTGGAGAGAAGTGGCTTCTTTGCTGCCCTTCTTGACACCAGGCCATCCTCCAAAAGTCTTTGCCTCACTGTGCATGCAGATGCACTCACACCTGCCTGCTGCCATTCCTGAGCAAGCTCTGTACTGGTGGTGCCCCGATCCCACAGTTGAATCAACTTTAGGAGACGGTCCTGGCGCTTGCTGGACTTTCTTGGGCGCCGTGATACCTTCTTCACAACAATTGAACCTCTCTCCTTGAAGTTCTTGATGATCCGATAAATGGTTGATTTAGGTGCAATCTTACTAGCAGCAATATCCTTGAATGTGAAGCCCTTTTTGTGCAAAGCAATGATGACGGCACGTGTTTCCTTGCAGGTAACCATGGTTAACAGAGGAAGAACAATGATTTCAAGCACCACCCTCCTTTTAACGCTTCCAGTCTGTTATTCTAACTCAATCAGCATGACAGAGTGATCTCCAGTCTTGTCCTCGTCAACACTCTCAAACTTTTGACCACGACTGTACAGTGCCTTCAGAAAGTATTCACACCCCTTGACATTTTTTAAATGTTGTTGCGTTATAGCCTGAATTTTAAATGGATTACATTGAGATTTTTTGTCACTGGCCTAAACACAATACCCCGTAATGTCAAAGTGGAATTATGTTTTTCTAAATTAACTTTTACAAATTAATAAAAAATGAAAAGCTGAAAAGCTGAAATGTCTTGAGTCAATGGCCGGGGGGTGCTTTACTTGGCTCATCGCGCTCTAGCGACTCCCTGTGACGGGCCAGGCGCCTGCAGGCTGACCTCGGTCGTCAGTTGAACGGTGTTTCCTCCAGTGTGTAGCTGGCTTCTGGATTAAGCAAGCGGGTGTTAAGAAGCGTGGTTTGGCGGGTCATGTTTCGGAGGACGCATGACTCGACCTTCGCTTCTCCAGAGCCCGTTGGGGAGTTGCAGCGATGAGACAAAATCATAATCACGAAAATTGGGGAGAAAAAGGGGGAGGAAAAAATAAATAAAAAATATTCAAAATGATTGACAACTATTATGGCTGCCAAAGGTACTCCCACCAAGTATTAACTCTGTGGTGTGAAGATATACACAATTAAGACGTCTTCGTTTAAAAAAATAAAAAGTCTTCTTTTAAAACGTTAACTTTCTTTCACTTTGAATATGTGAAACAGGTTGTGTAGATCTAGAGGAAAAAAAGCTGATTTAATGCCTTTTTAGATTTATTTTAAAGGCAATGTCACAACACAAGTCTGTCCCTGACCTCCAACCCTCTAACCTTTAACCCCTGACCTTTAACCTCTGCCCTCTAACCGCTTACCTCTGCCCCCAGGTGAGGAGGTGAAGAACCCTCAGAGGGTCGTTCCCATGGGCATCGTGTCGTCTCTCCTCATCTGTTTCCTTTAACCTCTGCCCTCTAACCGCTTACCTCTGCCCCCAGGTGAGGAGGTGAAGAACCCTCAGAGGGCCATTCCCATTGGCATCGTGTCGTCTCTCCTCATCTGTTTCGTGGCCTACTTCGGCGTGTCTGCTGCGCTCACCATGATGATGCCCTACTACCTCCTAGACAACAACAGTCCTCTGCCTGCAGCCTTTACATACGTGGGCTGGGAGGGAGCCACCTACGCTGTGGCTGTAGGCTCGCTGTGTGCTCTGTCCACCAGGTAAGTAGACGTACATCACATATAGACACACACCTAGCCTCACCTAGACAAACTATCCTGTATGTACACACACACACACACATCACCCTGCTGCTGTGATCAGTGACTTTAGCTCACACCACCAGGTGTGTGTGCGTGCGTGCGTGTTTCTTAGTGGGTATATATTTAACCATGGAGGGTATTTAATCCCCCTGCTGTCTATTAATATCAGTAGAGAGATCTGACAGGTCATATTGTCCCATTAATCTAACAGTTCTATCTATTAATATCGGTAGAGAGAGATCTGACATGCACATTAATGGTTCTGAATGCATTGAGTTGTATTAATATGTCTACTAACTAACAGATATATCTGACAGGTCATATTGAGTTCTATTAATATGTCTACTTCTAAGTTGATTCACACAAGTTCTTCGGCTGTCCCCATAGGAGAACCCTTTTCGGTTCAAAGTAAAACATTTTGGGGTTCCATGTAGAATCCTCTGTGGAAAGGGTTCTACATTTAACCCAAAACGGCTCTACTTGGAACCCAAAGGGTTCTACTTGGAACCAAAAGGGTTCTACCGGGAACCAACAAGGGTTCTTCAAAGGGTTCTCCTACGGGGACAGCTGAAGAACCCTTTTAGGTTCTAGATAGCACCTTTTTTTCTAAGAGTGTAGTTATAAGCAGTGTCTGTGATAGAATGTCTGTCTAATTGATTAGCTTCTCCTGATATTCCAATATAAAATGTGTTTTATTGAAACCATGATCCCTCTGTCTGAATCGCCTGTTTGATGATTATGAGTGCGTCCCAAAATGGCATCCAATTCTCTTTATAGTGCACTACTTTTCATCAGGGTCCATAGGGCTCTGGTCAACAGTAGGGCACTATCTAGGGAATACGATGCCATTTGGTCAACAGTAGTGCACTATATAGGGAATAGGATGCCATTTGGTCAACAGTAGTGCACTATCTAGGGAATACGATGCCATTTGGTCAACAGTAGTGCACTATATAGGGAATACGATGCCATTTGGTCAACAGTAGTGCACTATATAGGGAATAGGATGCCATTTGGTCAACAGTAGGGCACTATATAGGGAATAGGGTGCCATTTGGTCAACAGTAGTGCACTATATAGGGAATAGGATGCCACAGCTACATTACAGGGAGCTACATTACAGGGAGCTACATTACAGCTACATTACAGGGAGCTACATTACAGGGAGCTACATTACAGGGAGCTACATTACAGGGAGCTACATTACAGCTACATTACAGGGAGCTACATTACAGGGAGCTACATTACAGGGAGCTACATTACAGCTACATTACAGGGAGCTACATTACAGAGAGCTACATTACAGGGAGCTACATTACAGGGAGCTACATTACAGGGAGCTACATTACAGGGAGCTACATTACAGGGAGCTACATTACAAGGAGCTACATTACAGCTACATTACAGGGAGCTACATTACAGGGAGCTACATTACAGGGAGCTACATTACAGCTACTTACGGGTGCTACATTACAGCTACATTACAGGGAGCTACATTACAGGGAGCTACATTACAGGGAGCTACATTACAGGGAGCTACATTACAGGGAGCTACATACAGCTCATTACAGGGAGCTACATTACAGGGAGCTACATAAGGGAGCTACATTACAGGGAGTAC